CAGTCTGTAGGTTCCATAATGGTAGCGACCATTACTGGATAGGGTCATACCTTATGCGTGGTGCGCCGTGCTCCGGTGCGGGTTGGCTTGCTATAAGAGGCCAAAGACAGCGCTACCACTGGGAACTTCCATATATTCTCACTGTCCCGTGCAAGGCCCCCCACTCTTATTTCCTTTCATTAAGATGGCCGCCTTGTGGAACGGTGTGGCTGACTTATGGGACTGTGTTGTTAGGTCTCTGTTCCATCCTTACCCCAGAGGAGATACAAAAACAAAAACACAACCATAGAAAACCGACGGATCCTGTGTTTGCTACTCGTTTTTTGTCTATCTAGCTCCACTACTAGACTTTTCCGCCAAGCAGTGGCGTAGCTAGGGTGGGGGAGAATCGGAAAATTCCCCGGGCCCACACTTGAAGAAAAAAAGGGGGGGGGGGGCAAAAATGAGTGTTCGAATTTTTTTTACAATAAATATTAAGTCATTATCTCATGTCATGATGTCGAATGTCAAAATGCAGGGCCCCCCAAAGAGGTCAAGAGGTCCCGCACCCCCAAATGATGGCTAATTCCTAACTAAGCCACTGCAACCGAGGCGCCACGTTGAGGCTACGAAAGCTGGAATCTTCGGCAATCCACGTTTGAAACATCACTAACTACACACGTCCCAACGTCCTTCCGGGTCCACGGCAACAACCCTTTGAGTTACTAGAACGCCCTACTTTCCAATACCCGTATTGTCGTTTTTAGGGAGAAGGAATATTATGTCTCTCTCTAAATACGTTCTTGTCCTGTATTGAATAATGCGCAGTATCTTGTAAGATGGCGGTGCACAGGACAGAGTTACAACAATATCTATGCAATGCGATTTACACAATCTAAATAAATTGTGCATTAAATAGGATGGCAAGTAATGTAATATTTTAGATTGAAGTCATTCACCTTATGCTATTTTTAAAAATAGTTTTTATTTTTTTTTTTTTTATTTTGTGTAAAGAAATATTGTTGACCTTTTTTCGGGCAGTTCTAGCCTATTACTATAGGACAATCTTGATTTGATTCATCCAACTCATTCTTAAAAAAAAATACTAATAAGAAAATGTGAAAAAAATCAATCATTGAGTCACCAGAACAGTTCGATCTAGAAACTTGTCTACAATTATGGTCTAACAGTATCATAATGTATGTTTGCTATTTAATGTGTTTACGAACTGTACATTTTGAAATAAAATGTTTTATTTTCTATTTTATCCCATTTTTGACACCAATTGGTGCGAAAATTATAAGGAATATACTACACAAGATACCTTAAAGAGTTTCTTAAGGCTATAAATTAATAGGACATAGAAGCATCTCAGTGAAAGGAAATGTCACTATCTCTAAAACGAGATATGAAATCGGCAGACGTCCACGGATAATGTGTTTTAACAAAGAAGGCTCCCTTTAATTTAAATAAATAACGAGATGCTTATTGAAAATATTTATGAAACAAGAAAACCACAGTATATTCCGGATTTGAATTTCTTTACACAGATATTAAAAAAGGTGCATAAAACTTTTTATGAATGTTCTTAATCAATAGCTCAGTTATGGGGCAGAACCGATCGTGACAGATACTAGGAAATACTGATGTCTAAAAGCATACAACATACTTCTTTTTTTTTTTAAATTGTGTGGGTTAATTATGCTAATTACGAATCTTGAAGATATTGCTAAATTCATAAGTACCGGTATTCTAAATCCTTTATCTTCGGAATCGAAGACATTACCACTATTAATATTATTATTTAACATGATGTTGAAATTATGGAGATTGAACAAAATCAAATAAATAAAGTTGTACACGTAAAGTTCAATAAAGCTGACCTGTGGACAAGTCAACCAGTGTAGGATTAGTTTGACCACTGGCTGTGATATGGCATTACAAATAGTTGTTTCTCTCGGCACCTGGATGAGTCTAGTTTTCTTTTTTTAGCACTATTTGTTTTCAAGACATGACCTACATCTTAGTGCATGGTTAGTTCTAACATTACTTCTACAAGTATTTGTATTATTATTTCTTTACATTTTTAATTTACACATTTTTCATAATGACTTTTCCTTCTTTTCAAAAAGTACATCATTGGTATATAGTTGATTTGTACACGTTTTATACAATTTGTTTTGCACTTTTTGGAATGTTATATTGTAGAATAAATTTTAGTTTAAAAAAAGAAAAAAAAAAAAAAGAAAAAAAAAGCGCAAAGATGAATGAAATATTTAAAGTTACATTTAAATTTATATTTGTTTAGTATTCATAAAGGCTCAAAAGTTACCATACAGGTGTATTATATTCAACTAAATTTAAATGTATTATTGATATTATACAGAATCAATCATTTTTTAAGCTAAACAAATCTTACTCAAAAGTTAACATTTAGAGGTAGACTTTGACTAGAAAACTGTGTCTGACACAATGTATTCTTTGATCCAAGCAGCAGGTGATGAGCACCCTGTCATGTAGTCAAAGGTGAGTAGTCTTTGGTAACTGTCAGGTACAGGTCAACAAACAACAGACGACATATCTGATTATAAGTCACAGTTGTGTATTATAATCTTTGTTATAAAATGTGTGGCAGACATGATGATCAAACCACTATTCAGACCACTCTCCACTAAGCCATGTTTGATTTCATGATTATTTTTTTTTAAAGAGAAAACAGAACTTTGAGGCACTGTATTATATATATATATATATATATATGTCTAAGAATATATGCTTTACAGGGCTGAATGCATCTAGGATCATCACATTTTAATAGCTATATGCTCAGTGCAATTATTGTTTTAAATTTAAATTTTTTTTTTCATTTTAGACAAAACAATGTTGATCATTTTATAAGTGCCAGAAATAGCTGACACATAGCATCAAGAAATGTTCCTTTTTTGTATTGAAGTCTGACAGATCTTCTTTTTTATTGGTTTACTTTCAGGTGACACCAATCAACTAACTCAAGTCAATAAATAAAGCATTTTCTCCTGACTTCAGAAAAATATGATTTAAGAAAACAAAGAGACTCCGACTCAAATAAACATTATTTTTAAAAGTGTATTTTCATATGTTCAACTGAATCACAATTATATCTATGTAAACAAAGCCCTTAACAATTATATCTATGTAAACGAAGCCCCAAACAATAGTATCTATGTAAATGAAGCCCCAAACAATTATATCTATGTAAACAAAGCCTCTAAGAATTATATCTATGTAAACGAAGCGCCTGTCTATTCATATTTTGCTTCAAATCTAAGAAAGAGATCTAAATCTTAGAAATATAAATATTTCACTAGCTTGCAATAAGTTTCCATTAACAATGGTTTAGAAATATATCAACTCAATTATTTCCTGCCAATGCACACTAAGGCATTCAATAACTTTAGTTCTGATGTTCATTCTTTGAACTGGGTCTAGCTTGATTGATATTTTCACTTCATTAAAATATTGAAAACTAAACACTAATACATCTGATGTGTCAACTACCTACTATAAGTTCATCATTCTGACAAATGTAATTTAAATTTTATGTTTTGTTTCTTTTTATCAGAAGATTTACATATCTTGGCAAAATATTAACTATAAAAATGGAGCATGCATAACAGACATATATAATAGAAACAGTAAAGTTAACTATTCAGTAATGATGATTATAAGAATCCATTTATTGTTATAAAACTTTTTCAATATATAAGAAATTCGAATTTTAAATATATTTCAACACAGCACAGTAGAAATACAGAAAAAACAACTAAGAAATGTAGACATTTCATATTTTATTAAGTTTTAACTGATACAAGCTTTGCATCAGTACAAGTCTATATTCAAAAAAAGTATTTTTTTTTCGAAGTTCAACTATACATTAGCATCAAGATTAATAGCATCCATTTTTTGGTCAACATTTTTATAATCATTTCTAGACTATTTTAAACAAAACATAAAAAAAAAATAGAAACTTTCTGTAGTTAATAACAATATTCAAATTTAAAAATGAAATCTCATTTCCAGCATAAAATTAAAATGTAACCCTAAAATGTACAAAAAAACAAACAAACAAAAACAGCTTTATTCTCTTTGCTGATAGTATTAAAAGTAATCTAAAAAAAAAAAAAAAAGGTTTCTATACAGAGCATCAGATGCAAGACTTATCTGGTCAGTCTGCCAGATATAAAAGTAGAACTAGCAAAATATATTTTATACAATTTATAATGAGCAGAAGTATCAGAACTTAAGAGTGAACAAACAGGTGAGTGTAGAGGATTTGGACTGAAAATATTATAATACAAGAAAATAGAAAAACCAGAACAGACTTTACTAGCTGATAACAGGAACATAGAGAATAAGACAATTGGAAACAACACATTTTTAAAACAATTTTCAACCACAGATTTTTTTATTACATGAAATTTCAGCAATAAGGAAAGTAAACTAGAAAGCAAAGGTGTTTTTTACTTTTTTTTTTTGTTTAGACTTTTAAGAATATTCCAGGTATCAGAAATTAAGTCAAGATAGTTTGTATTCCAGGAATCAAGTCAAGATAGTTTGTATTCCAGGAATCAAGTCAAGATAGTTTGTATTCCAGGAATCAAGTCAAGATAGTTTGTATTCCAGGAATCAAGTCAAGATAGTTTGTATTCCAGGAATCAAGTCAAGATAGTTTGTATTCCAGGAATCAAGTCAAGATAGTTTGTATTCCAGGAATCAAGTCAAGATAGTTTGTATTCCAGGAATCAAGTCAAGATAGTTTGTATTCCAGGAATCAAGTCAAGATAGTTTGTATTCCAGGAATCAAGTCAAGATAGTTTGTATTCCAGGAATCAAGTCAAGATAGTTTGTATTCCAGGAATCAAGTCAAGGTAGTTTGTTCATTTACATCTAAAGTCATCATATAAAAAAAGAAATTATAAACATTCTGCAGGCATCTAAAGAGATAAACATGCATCTCTATTCACATAACTAAACAAAATATCTCTAGAACTCTTTGACATCTTTATGGCTCATTACAATTCTTTAGAGATATCTAAAGAGCTTAATCAAAATAATCTCTGATACTCAAACAAATATCTACACAGCTCTAAAATAGATATCTATTTCTACTCACACAAACAAAATACAAAAATGTTAGTTACAACAAATTAAAATAAGTTTAATTTGGACTTTCAGTCACTACCTCCCTATCGTACTGCATATTAACCCCTTCCTGAATAAAACACAGGAGGACTTTTTGGTAGCTCCTTAACTTAGACACACAACTTGGTGGCCCCACAACTGTTGTCTACATAGTGTCATGGGAAGTAGAAGCTGCTGTCTGTGGAGTCAAACTTTGAAAAGTGGACAGTCCGAAATGTGAACAAATACTTCCATAGATCAAGGCTAGCAAAAAATTTAACACATTCAATAAAACATCAGACTGCTAAAAAATGACTACCCTACTTAATGATAGAAAAATGTATGTCATGTCATCTAATGTTATTTAAATCTAAACAAAGTGTTGACATTAGTCAGATGTGTTTTAAAAACTTAATTAGACATGCATTTGATTTAGATTTCTAGAAATTCATGTATTACTTCCTAACAAATATGAAAGTTAGGGGGATAGGACTGATATATTTGCCACTTTTTACAACACCCAAAACTGATACAAACTAAAGACTTACAAAGAAGGTGGAGGACTTAAAAATAAACATAAAAACATCGGCATTAAATATTTAGTACATTGTAGTAAACACTTTTCATGCAAAATTACATAATTGTTAGATATTTTCAGTTGCTAATATTTTTCAGTATTTGATGTGGTAATGAAGCTATGGACATCATAGAATGAAACTAGTGTAATAGGGGAATATTGAAAGTAGTCATATGCCCTAGAATGTAAACGTATACAGCTTCTTTTCTTTTTATAAGGTCTCAGAACTAACCGATTGTTTCTAAAGCTTTAAACTGTTTGAGCTGGCATGTGAAGGAGACTGAGAAAGGTGCCTAGCTAGTGTATTAATGACATGCCCAACAACGGAGGCCGAAAATTGACCAGTTGACTACAATACTTATACCATAAATAATGAATCAAATCACAAAAATTATATTTGCAATCAAAAGTAAACCTGTAATAATCAAAACCTCGAAAGATATTAATGATTCAATTTAATGTGTGATAACTAATTAGTTGGAATATGATATTAATTATGTTTAAATGAAATTGCAAAATTCAAAATAATGATAGCCAGCGGATTATCAATTAGTGATAACAGTTTTGAGAATTATAAACAAAAAATGATAAATAGTTTTAATTATACCCTCATCCTCAAGGCCATTTGGTTTTAAAACAAAAAGAAGAAACAGTAAAGAGTTACATGATAGAAACAAAGTGCACAAAGTATCTTGGTATTTGTTCAATAATAATCCAAAGAGCTTCCAAGGAAGTGATCTAGCTGTGCTGATTATAAAAACTTTTCTGCAAAAAATAGTGTTGCTACCACCAAGTTTTGCTCCTTCAACCACAGAATGTTTGCTTTTATTCAGTGCTTTACAATCTAGACTTAGTGGTGAGGGTGTCGGGAACATAAGGGTACAAAAGTTGAAAGAAAAAAACAAAACAATTACAAACTGAAACAAGATGTATAAATGATACAAACTGAAACAAGATGTATAAATGATACAAACTGAAACAAGATGTATAAATGATACAAACTGAAACAAGATGTATAAATGATACAAACTGAAACAAGATGTATAAATGATACAAACTGAAACAAGATGTATAAATGATACAAACTGAAACAAGATGTATAAATGATGAAAGACTCAAAACGTTGCATTCTCCAGAGTGTAGGAAAGGACACACAAATAACCACCACTGCATGTGGTGTACACAGGTTGTGTTTAGTTTCTTGAATAAATAGAACTCTCTTTTCAATATATTTATAAAAGTAATGGTATATCATACATCAGAACTACATGATATAAAACTACAGCTAGAGCTAGGCTGTTAGACTTGATTAGAGCGGATTTCTCACACAGACTGTACTGAACATTTGAACCCTTTTGTAGGAGTCTTTCAAAAGACATACTCTCCCAAACTACAGACTTTCTTAGATCTACTGTGTCAGTATAGAAATAAAAGGTCAATTTAAAATGCATCAAGTGACTATTTGAAAACTATTGCAAATGATAGGAAGATTTCATACCTTCTTATTTGAAAATAATGAAATGTACATTGAAAATATATTTTCAGCTAGGTTTCGGAAAACAGATTTTCAGGATAGGGTTCAAAAGTTAATCTGTTAATATTTAAAGTAGCTTTGTGGATGGATCATGTTTTTCAAATACATAGTTCAGTGAATATTTAAGAAGTTCAAAATGTCACATGTGTAAAACTTGGTCAAAAGAAGAAAGTGACTTATACACATACACTACCAAGCAATAACAATGTTAAGGCCACCTAGAGTTTGAGAAGATGGAATGTTCTTTATTTAATGAAAAACAATCAGAAAAAAAAAATTGAATTGAACAAAATGTTACTGTTGCCTAAGAAAAGAAATAAGTTATCATTGGGAAAAAAGAGTTTTTAAAAAAGCATTTAATTGCACTTGAGAATAAAGTTTTTTTTTATAAACAATTTAACTACAGTCATAAAATAAATTTAGTTCAATATACCTTTTACAACAGTGTTGCTTCTTAAACTAATAAAACTATAAATAGAATTAAAAGATGACAAATGATTACAAATGAGGCACAGAATAAAACTCAAACATTGCATGCATGGTCAACTTTCAACATTTTCAATAAAATCATCATATGGAGAAATGTGAGTCTTTTCTTTTAGAGTTGTAATTTCATATTTGCATCTGTCTTATACAAAGGTTATAGTTTCAATAAATTCTGAGGAAAGAACAGCTTAATTCAATCAAGATTTTTTTAAAATGTCACATTTTTCTTGAAAGTGGACTTTCTAATTACTTCTAAATTTAAAAATAAAAAGCTCTTCAATTATAAAAAGAAAGAATATTTTCAAACTGAAGAACAAGTGGATTGTACATAACAGGCATGGCAGTCAGCTCTTATGACATAAAAGGAATATAATCTCATTATTGTCATCATTATCAGAATCATTGTTTATGACAAGTGAAGGTAACCATGGGGAGAGAGAGTTGCAAATAAATTACTTTGGAATTACTTTTAATCAATTACTCTGGCTTAATGACAAACAAAATCATTTACTTAAAAAAAAAATTAATCAAAAGACCATTGTATAACATATAAATGCAATAAAAGCTGAATCAGTAGTAATGATGACTTCTATTTACATAATGTCAGTTGATACTTAAAAAGTTCAATTCTCCTACTGGTTTGTAAGCAAACAAAAAAAAAAAAAACATGAACAGTGGTGACTATAACAACCTGTGTAACTTAGTGTTATATTTTTCATATCACAACCCAAAATCCTACATCAATTTACCTCATTCTAAACCAGCTACACTTAAAATTGTACAAAGTATAAAAAAAAAGTATTTAAAATTCAACAACTCATTTTTTTTTTAAATGAAGAGTCTCATATTTAGTAGAACAAATGAATCACAATAAATCTTGCAATATGTGACAACATTAGGTTAACAATTAAAGATCTGGTATTGTTTAAACATCAATATGCTACTTACACTAACAGATTCAAATAAATAGAAGTAACAAAAAAATGAAATAAAGTAGAGAACACACAAGAACACAACCAGAACCAGCATGAAACTTCTGAAGATGTCTTTTAAAAAAAAGGGTGAATGTTACATTTATTTATTATACATGTTTCTTATCTACAGGAATGACGAATCCACATAAATCCATGCTTCTAAATGTATACAGAAGACAATAAATTAATGCTCAGTCTAAATGAGAATGTGTACACACATATACTCAAGAGGAATTTTTCTTAGAATGAAATCTAGAAAAACTTCCAATTAAAAATGAAATGTTTCTGTTCTCTCTTGAAATAATGATATGTCTTTAACAATAGCTTTCAAGTCATGACAACAAGAAAGACAATTCTAGAAATTAGATCTGTTGATTTATTTGACAACCCTCATTAATAAGCAGCAGTCCCTAGAGAAAGTCTCAAAGTCTAATAGAGTGAAATCTCATTGCCTCACACTAACTGCTTCATTGCATAGTTTGCTTAATCATTTACAAAGAGGACAAAAGCCAAATGTACTTTAAAAAAGCACTTCTTTTATTTGAATAGCCAAATTAAAAGCACAACCAGTGTTTGAATGACAGCCTTACAATTGAGAAAGTAAGTTAAAAAAGAGCCTTATTTAGACAATATTTCTTGGCAATGATTCAATTTCAAGCTAATATATATAAAAAAAAAAAAAATCAGCCGAAGCTTAATAAGACAACCTTTTGGTAAAAACAAGACTTGAATTGATTAAAGCATCATTTAAAGGATATATTCCAATAGTCTCACAACCCTTTTTAAAAAAGATGATTTAAAATATATACAGTATGATCAACAAATTTATAAAACCACATTGTATTTTTTATTTTAAAACTTCTCTGTCTTGTATTTCTAATGTGATAACTCAGAACCAATGTCTTCAGTCAAGGCTGAAAATTTGAACAATTTGAACACTAAGCAAACATTGGCTCTTCGTGTGCCTCTTCAAGGGGCAGGGAAGTAAATGGCTCATCCTCCAGATACTGGGTTCAGGTCAACACTGTGTTTGCTTTTACAGCTCTGTTATTAGAGTGACCTTCCTCTCCACCTTTTTGTCCGACCAGGTGTGAGAGTTATAGTGGAGTGAAGCAGTACTGTCACCTCTGGACCTGTCGATAGAGATGACCTGTGTTTTGGCGGTTGAGGACGTTTTCCTAGTGACTGGCTCTGTCCTGGTGAAGGAAGTTTCCTAGAGTGAAAATGTAAGAGAAGAAATGTGATACCAGCTAACAAAATCAAACACGGGATGTAGAACAGGATCTCTTTCCAGTACAGATTTGCAATCAGTTCATTAGGATTGAAGGAATAAAAATTGAACTCCAGATTAATCTTATATACAAAAATGTCATTATACTTATTGCATACAAAATCCTGCTTTTCTTCAGAAAAAAAAAATGTATATTTTTTTATATTTTCATTTTAGCTTTCAATTTCAAAGTTCAATACAACTTTTTTAGAATATTTTGTTTACCAGAAGAATTATTTCATTTCACTTCAAAGATTACAATAATATTAGAAATTAGGAGGTGTTTTTTTTTTCCAAGCCTTACTAAATAACATGCACAATAATACTCCATGCATCATACCCAGCATGCTTTGTCATATTTCTAGATGTCTTTCTTTGAAATATATAAACACTACAATACGTTTACACGTTTGAGCAATGTCATTGAGTCTTTAATGTGAGAGTACATGACATAAATACTTTTCATTCCATCAACAAGACAATAAAGGATAAAAAAGTATAAAATATCTGATAAGTCTCTCAACAATCAGTTTCTAAGATTTGAGCAACAATTAAGAGAAGAAAAATCTCTGAGACTTCATTTATAACAGAAATAGATTTTTTTTAGCAAAACATAAATCTTGACATATATTAAATATAAGTTTAAATATGCAACATTGCCTGGAGCAAGGAATATTTCCCCAACATACACATTGTTTATGCTAACAAGCTATATCTATTTTAAGGGAATAAGCATGCATTTAATTACAACTAGCGTACTAAGTAAAATAATTTTGAATGCATCTTTTTTATTTTTCAAGTAAATATTAGGTTTTTATGTCTTTTGTTATAAAAACAAAATCACAGCCAAAAAAAAAGAGACTAAAGATTACTATTAAAATAAATTGGACCTCAATGCTTCAGACATTGATCTTTGAGTTTGATCATTAGTGGACAAGTTTTCATTTGCAAACTTGTTAATCTGTAGTACATTGATGATGTATGTCAAAACCACTAGATACATTGGCACACAAAAAAAAGTGAGACTAATGGGTACAACACTAGGTGAGTATGTGATCAGAGATTATTATGATGACAACACTGATGTATAGTAGATACAATAGTCTGTTCAAGGATGACATACAACATTGTATAAGAAGAGTTAATTCTATCATCAAAAACCAAAGAATAGCTGTTAACAAAAAAAAACCCACAAGATTCAAAAATTAAAAAAAAAATTACAACATGCATGCATTGTTTAAATGTTGACAAAAGTTTGAAGCTTGCCACTTCAAAAGGTTATTGTGTTAGC